AAACATCTGGAGACAGATGTGTTTGTATCAATAAAGTTGTCTCACCCCAGATTCTGGTCAGTGGTTGGTCCAGGGTCTGATGTCCCACTGAACAGCTGTAGATGTCTCCCAGCTGTGGGACGAACTCCAGTCTGGAGAACTGGTTGAAGGAACCGTCCTTGTTGGGGAAGGGAACGTTGACGCTGGTTCCTTCAGTGACGTTCTTGTTGTTCTTCGTCCAGTAGAACATTACAGGAGCAGGATAGAAACCAGTCACATGACAGATGAGGATGTTGTTCTGTCCCAGCTCCACGTTGTCTCTGGAGTAGATCATGGGACTGGACGGAGGATCTGAACAGAGACACAGATCAGATTAATGTCTTGCATCAACTCTTGTTCCAGAGGACGGTAAAGTGAGAACAAGTATTATCAGTGAAAGTTAACTGTGGTATATCTAGACATTTATTTGGATAGTTAAAGGAATCAAGAAGGGTTGAAAGAACAGATCTACATCTTCTTATGAAGGGGTTGAATAATTTTGAGACTGCAGTAGCCATTAAAAGTAGCATTTTGTGTTGAATTTGGATCAAAACCCTTGTAATATTAGTTTGAACTACTTAAACAGTTCTTGTGTAATTTGTTTATTGCAAACAGCTGAGAAATTGTATATTTTGCCAATAAACCTAATATGCAATGGGGGTTGAATAAATTTGATTGCAACTGTAACTGTCTGGTATTGCAACTCTACTGTCCAGCAGAGGTTACAGCTAGACAGAATTGTCCACACTGCAGAGAAGATTATAGGCTGCAATCTACCCCCTATCTCAGATATCTATGAGGCCCGTATCCAACACAAGGGCATGAAAAACCTCCTGGACGAAACCCACCCCACCAACCCACTCCTAAATGTACTTCCATGAGGTAGAAGGCTGAGGGCCATTACAACTAAGACCTCATGCTTTTTGAACAGTACTTACAGTAATGTCATTAAGTTCCTTAACAGCTCTACGACCCTGCAGCAGTACCTTATGAAATTGGATAACTCCTCCACAGGATTTGAATAGCTTGAAGAACTTCTATTTATTTTTCTTCTTTTATATAGTATTTGTTTTTATCATGCTGTGATGTCACACACTTTTATACATTTTACATATATACAGATTGCACTTTACTAGAAATGCACAAGCCACTTTAGCCCCCTGGACTAACATCCAAGCTATTCATGTGAGTGGTATGACCTGTTCTCAGGACATGTGACCTTGTCTGTTCCTGCTGTCTTTGTATGTTGTTTGTTTGCTGTGACTGGCTTGTGGTTTGTCCTTCCATGTAGACTTGCGCAAGTTGTATGGCAATAAAGTATTTAATCTTGAATCTTGATCAGCCTGATCCTGTCTCATTCAGGAGGTGCTTCTCAAAGTCAAGGAAGGATCCTCAAACGGCCAAATTTGGAGGATGCTACGTCATAGACCCGCCGAAGGACTGTTCCAGTGTCAAGGATCCTTCTGAGTTTCACGAAGGACTGAGTCCTTCTCTCAGAGAAATTCCAAGGATGCATCTGTGGATCCTCCGCAGGTTTAAAATCCCCACAATGCTTTGCACACGATTTGCTGGAAGTGAGGGTGGGGCCTCTTCAATGAAACCTGTGCCAGTGGAGCTCAGCAGGATTTAGATTAATATGTCATTTATTTGGATTCATGTCTCCACCAGTTTTTATCAGACAGAAACCTTATCATTTACACTTTCCAATGTGTCCGCTGTCACATGATGAGAGAGCAGCGCAGCTCATCAGATTTGATCTCTTCATATTATTGTAGCGCAGTGTGTCTGTTGTGTTTACTTCATTACTCCACATACTCTTAAATATGATCCAGAAATATATTCTCCCTAAAGGTCATCTAAATCTGACAATACTGACACATATGTTTGAAACTGTCCAACAACATTAGAGAGTGATAATATGATCACAGTAACTGAAACCTTCTCAGTCTGCTGAGGGTTAATGATGATCACATGAGGACACTTGTTAGTCTGTTCCAATGTGTGTTCACTGAATGAGAGGGAGGACTCTTGCCTCTGCAGGATCCTTCCTTGAGAGGGTAAATCTTCAAATGTCTAGTTTTGTCTGACTAACGGTCCAAAACCCAAAGATATTCAGCTGGTCATTATGTTCAACAAAGAAAAACAAAAACTGCCATTTCATTTGTTTGTTAAGTCAAGTGACTGTGGTGTAGTTTGTTTACAGCCTGGTTGTGGCGGAGACGTTAAGTCATGTGACCGTGGTGCAGTTTGTTTACGGTCTGGTTGTGGCTGTGACGTTAAGTCGTGTGACCGTGGTGTAGTTTGTTTACAGCCTGGTTGTGGC